AACACTGAAAATCAATAAAAATTCGAATTTCGCGCGCTTTTACCGGCAGTTGGCCTAGAAAACTCACACCTGGCCGCTAGGCCACCAGATACAACTTTGACTTTTCGATGCCGTTTTTCTCAATGAAGGAATTTTTTTTTGAATGTTTTCTTTATTTTTATGTGAAACTACATGGATTTCTGCACAAAATAAAGCAATAAAATTTTTCACCGCACACCACTTTTAAAGAATTTTCTAGGCCATTTTCACAGTGGCCTAACTTTAAGATTTCTAGGCCACTTTACTAGTTTTCCAGGTCATTGTTTTCTGAATTTTTGAATTTTTGAGTTTTTGAATTTCTGATTATATCGAAATTCCGAATTTCTTGCAACTCTGAATCATAAAAATTCAGAATTTCAGAAACTCATACGTTCGTAAATTTGAAATTTTTGAAACTAGAAAATTCGAAAACCGAGAAAATATAAAATCCTGAAAATTCTGGAATCCCTAAAATTCGAAAGTTCAGAAGTTCTGAAATTTCGAAATTCCAATATTCAAATTATCGGGAATTCGTAAATTGAAAAATCTTAAAATTCGGAAAATCAAAGTTTCCAGAATTTCCAAAATACAAATTCTTTGAAATTCAAAAACTCAAAAATTGGAAAACACAAAAATTTAAAATTCGGAGTTTCGGAGGTTTAAACATTCAAATACTCTGAAATTTGAAAATTCTGAATAATCAGAATTTCAGAAATTCAAAACTCCCGAAATTCGAATAAATTTTTTGCAGTGCGAAATGCCGGAGAAATGTGTGATTTGCCAAAAAGTGAAAAGTCGTCTATTTCTTCGAAAAATGGATCATTTCATTGAGAAATTAATCGTTTTCACTGGATGGATTCTAACTGATAAAAAGGCTGAAATTCGAGCGGTTCCATTGTTGAACGAACAGAATTTATTCGTTTGTTGGTCCCATTTTCCCGAATTCTCCGGACGAATTTTCATTGAATTATGCATCAAAAATCTACACCAACTGTCGACTTGTTATCGATTTTTGGTCGAAAAATTGATGATAACTATCAATATTTTGGTGCCAAACATGAAACAAGACGAATTTTTGGACGAATTTAGAAAGTGGCTGACGGCGTCGGACTGGTGTAAACCCCAAACGGTAAGATTTTTTTCTAAAAAATATACCTCAAATCTGCAAAATACGATTCAAAACAATGTCCCTAGCACTATCAAACAACCAAAAAACTATTGGGCGGAGGAGAGAATCGAACTTTTGGGTGTTCGCTCCAAAATCAGCAGTGTTAGCCACTGCGCCAATTGGGCAGCGCGCGCCTGGGGTCCACGGAAGAAGGAGGAGGCGCCCG